GGAGGGAAACGGTTTAATTTTGTCTAGTTTGTCCCGGTTGTGGAAGATCTGCAAAGCTGAAGAATGCCGTGACAAGGTTTCAAAGAGACGAGGTGGGATTCTTTAAAGATGAGAAGGAATATTACAAGGCCTTTAGTTCTGAAAACATCGAAGAGTACCAGAGAAGCCGCGGTGTAATTAAAGGAGACGGCAAATTAAAGGTTACTCTTAACATGGAAATTCGCCCGGAAAGAACTAAAACTATTGTTATCTTATCTTAAAGAAGAAATTCAAGAACGAAGTGGGCTTCACGGTTGGAAGCCGGCTTTTTTCAGGGCATTGCATGGTCAAGTGGCAAGACAATTTCCACTTTTAACTCTATATCACGTTTTTAAGCCCTTTTCAACGCACACAGGGCTGAGATAGTAAAATCACACTTTTGTGTTTCATATGAGAGTAAAACAAAAGTGTTAAGTTACCACTTGTACCTAAAGATAGCAAACATCTCGTGGGAACAAGTGGTGACGATTCGTGAGCTCTAATTGAATTTACTACCTTGTGAAANCTCATTAGAATTTCACGAAATTTGGCACGAAAATACTTTAGGAAATAAGTAACTGGAGTATTGAAAATAAATGAACTTTAACGAAGGAAATTCTAGATATTCCAGTGAACCTTCAACAAGGGATCATTGAAGATCTCTCTGTTAAATTATTAGCAAAATGGTGTTAACTTGTCAGAATCGTTACAAACCTGTTGCATGCAAATTATAAAGAAAATCTAATGACTAGATTTTCTACAAATAAACAAAACCGATTTTAAAGGCCTTTTTATTTTTATTCGTGTTGCCATGGCAACGGCCCGTACGTCAGCTTAACCATCAAAAAACCAAAGTTTGTGTTGTTAACTTGCTTGCTGCCATTTTTGGCGACCGAGAGATCGAGGGTTTTAGAGAAAAAGGTGAATGAAACACAGGTATCAAAAACTGCGTTCAGCCACCTTAAGTTACACTTTAACTTGGTGCCACGCAGTCTTCAAAGAACATTTGAACAGTTTTCATTCTTTTTACCTATAAAAATATCGGACTGAAAAGAATGTCATAAAATGCCCATCAAATATAAATATTAAACTGCTACTGAAGGGACGTAAAAACCGTTCAGAAATCAAAGCTTCTTTTTTGTTTTATATCCTGGGAACAATCGTAACCACTTGTTCCCACGAGATGTTTGCTATCTTTAGTTACAAGTGGTAACTTAACACTTTTGTTTTTCATATGAGAGTAAAACAAAAGTGTTAAGTTACCACTTGTACCTAAAGATAGCAAACATCTCGTGGGAACAAGTGGTGACGATTCGTGAGCTCTAATTGAATTTACTACCTTGTGAAAAACAAGAGTGTCAAATTACCCTTTGGAACTAAAAAATTTAAATTTCTCGTTATATTTGCATGCAATAAAAACAAAACAATCGTTACCTGCACTTACAATGGTAAACGTTAGAACTGTTTCAAATCTAAATCATCTCGTCTCTTCTAAAACATGTCCTAAGAACTAAAAGCGACGATTCGTGACCTGTCATTGAATTTGCTCCTTGTGAAAAACAAAAGTATCAAGTTACCTTTGCAACTAAAAAAATAAATATATCTCGTGCCATTTGCATGCTACTAACTGATGAACCGTTTCAAAACTCAAGGCTCACCTCGTTCATAACTAGCCACCATTACACTGAACATTATGCACTCTAAAACAACCCAATGTATGTATGTAACTGTCACACTCCGCTCCAAACCGG